GTAGTGCCATAAGTACGAAGGGGAAGGGCGGCCACTGTGGATGGAAAGCCTCCCCTCCGCTCTCTCTCTTATTATTTTCGTTTTTTTAAGTCCCAAAGGGTTGCCCTGTCCCCTTCGGAGTGAGTCTGCCAGACGGACCTGCCTTTTTTTTTTTTAGTGTCCTTTTAGCAGATAAAGAGAAAAACCTTATCTTTTGTTCCTCAGAGTATTTATTGTGTTTTAGTTTGTGTCAAACCCTGTCCACTGAACAAAAAAACGCTGTATGTTTTGTTTGTACAAGTCTAGAGCTTCATGCTTTCCTGATTAAATCTTAGGTAGTAAAGTAGTGTGATTCCTCTTCTTCGAACTACTTCTTTATTTCTTTTGATTTTTGTGGTTTGGGGGGGGCAAAAACAACAACCGTGATTTAATTTATTGTACTTGCTTTGATCTTTCTCGTCTCGCCTCTCGTTCGGCGCTGGGGGGAGTTTGGTACTCGATCCTTCTGTGAGCGGTGTGTTTGAGCCCACAGACGCACACGTGGACGTCGTTTGGCGGGGTTTTTGATCCTCGTCACCACAACTCCAGTCCGCTTTCGCTCACTTTCACGCTCCTGCATCGATTCGCTTCTCACTAAAAACCCCGGTGTCCTCGAGCCGGACAGCGTCCCTCCGACCAGAGGGGCGCACCGTGGATTAGGATTAATGTGGAGCCTGAAGTCTTCATCGTGGCAAAGATGGTTTCTTTTAACCGAGCTGGATCCCGCCGGGCGGTACCTTCTGCTGAACCCGGTCCGAGCAGGTCATGTCAGTGTTTTAGCTTCAAATCGTCAGGAAGCGCCACATTTTCCTCACCGTCTACCTGAAAACGCCATTCATGTTTTATATATGCAACCTGTAGAGCCCAGTTACAGATGTGAAGCTACAGCAACATAAACTCTGCTGCAATGAATTTGAATGTGTTCATTTGGTGATTAAGGTTTTTTTTTAATTACACTGCGGGAAGTGAAGATGATTAGAAAATTCTTCAGGAATGTTCGATTGGCCACGAAACGAAAGTGATTCCCACGTCTCCTGCAGTATCCTCTCATGTTTCACACCTCTAATCTCTGGCCACATCAAATTCTTAATCAAATATAGTCATTTGAGTTAATTGGTCCATTTCATTTTGCAAAAGAAGAGTCAGACTTTATGTCTGTATGCTTTATGTGCGCCTGAAGCAGAGATCCTGGAGAAAGAAAGCCTGGATATGTTGACCTTGCTTCCTCAGGCTGGAAATACTGGTCTTCTTTATGCAACTCAGATAGTTCTTGCTTTCTTTGCACAGGTCTTTAATGTTTAAAGGAACAGGTAGAGGGTCAGACATCTGTGGGTGAAAGCTGCTACAAGTTTTGTGCAATCAGTATTGTTTTTTTTCACCCCCCACAGCATTTGCACAATAGTAGCAAACTTTAATCGCTCCCTCCATCGATCTCCCCGCGTTTAGTCTTTTTGTTTTTTCAGCCCAGACCGGAGCAAACCCGGGTACATGCTGACAGTCCAGGTGGAAGTGTGGTTACTCTGAGCAGTCACGCGATTCAGCGTTAACCTGAGAAAAACTCGCTGTGAGAGGTCTGACAGCAGCCTGTGCGTGAGAGTTGTTTACAGAAGCAGCACAAACACAACATTCAGCCGATATTTCCCTTTTTGTTGGTTCTCTTTTCCCTAAACGATACCTCATCTTTGTAAGACATGTTTAGATTTTGAGTGAGACTAAACAATTTTCGTATTTTCATTTCACAGAACCCAGGTAGTCGGTTTTATTTGTAAAAACCGGTGATGCTGCTGCGCTCGAGTGTGGCGATGAGTTTCATCTCGGCTCTCGCAGCGGATTCTGCTGGAAACAAATACCGCTGTGTGTGTGTGTGTGTGTGTGTGTGTGTGTGTGTGTGTGTGTGTGTGAGAAAAATACGAATGTGTGTTTTCGGTTTTCGTCCTTCGTTACCTCTTCCTCTCTGTTCCTCAGCCATCTCTAACATGTACTTTGGCAGCTGTCTGCTCTCAGCCTGCTTGCCTGTAAACTGGAATGAAAGGTTGAGCCGTGAAGCCGCAGACCTGCTCCAACCTGATCTCAAGTTTCTGGAAAAAACAAGACAAAAGAAACAAAATAAGAAATAGAAAGGGAGCCTTCCTGAAGTGTGGTTTAAAAAAGAAACTGGTTGAATCTTCGCCTGTGAAACAATTCACTTTGTGCTCATGCCTCCTTTTCGAACAGCTGAATCATCCTTGGCCACATGTAGAGGTGGGATTAAGAAGAGCCTGGAAACTGCTTTCCTCTTCACTCTTTTCTTTCTTCCCTCCTCCTCCTTAATCTCTCCCGTGTTGCATCCCTCTCCCAAAATTGGCCTAACACACTTCAGTCATTTCTGCAGAGCCCACGCAACATCCACAGTTCTCTCCTCATTGTTTTCCCCAGCTGCCTCTTTTTGGATCATTATACATGGATCCCACTCTCTGCACGGCCTGGAGGCGAGTGACACATCCGTGCAGAATACCGTGGGTACAGTATCAAACAGCCTGTTTTCCACAGAAGGACAAACTGAGGCTAGTCATGGGAGGGCCGGCGATTTTTTTTAACTTTTGCTTTTATTGACAAACGCGCCGCAGGCCCACATCTGTGAGTGTGCACTCTGGAAGAAGTGAAGCTTTTGTTTTTGGCAGCAGAATTAAAAGTGCCACCAAAAAAAATACAAAAAACTCGTCATGAGACGAGAAAACGTGCGGTGAGAGGTCGATGACGGAGGATTCGAGCCGTCTGTGTTCGACGTGTTTTTGTTGACACGTAATCGGTACTGTCTGTGTATCCAAGGTTACTGAGCTGAAGTAGTGTGGAGGGGCGCGGGGAGGGCTCGGGGTGTATTTTTGTAAAGATAACGAAGAAGAGACAGCACTTTGTAGAAGGCTGATTGGCAGGTAGTCCTACTGAGAGAAAGATGAGGCATAAAGCATTGTTCAGATGTTCTTCTTTTTAATTTATCTTTTTAAAATTTTGTTTGAAAATAAGACACCTGTAGGGATCAAGAATAAAAAAGAACTAACTACACAGTGCCACTTGCTAATTTTGTGTAAATAGTACTAGAACATGTAAATATAATGTTGTATATGAAAAAAAAACTTTAAAATAAAAGGGAAAATCATTTGTGAGCAGAAAGATTTTGTTTCTCTTTTTATTTTTTTCTCTCCTTTGGATGATTCAAATGTGACACATGGTGTGTATTTCAACAATGCTCTTTCCAACTTTTTTTTTTCTTTCTCATTTTATTTGAAAGGTAATCTATAACAGCGAGTGTTATATATAATGAACCACAACGTCATGAGAAATGTTTTACCGTATTATACCCTTGGTTAACTTCTACCTGTGTCATAAAATCCTTTGTCCTCAGTTGCTTGTTCCTCTCTGGTATCTTGGTTTTTACAGTGCTTTGGACATGTCTATAAGCTTGATTATGAACAATTAAAGCTTGTCTGTCAAAGCATGGAGACGTGGCTTCGGATCACCTTGCTTTTCCACACTGTAAAAGTGAGGTTGGGCAACGTTAGAGCGACCGGAGGCTGAAGATCTCGACTAGAATTATTTGGTGCCGTTTTAAGCGTAGAGTGAAGCCATCAGTCACACAAGGGAGACACAGTGCTGATGCTGTTAGTTGTAGCTGGAGAAAATGATGTTGGACCCCAAATGCACACAGTGTTAATATAGATAGACTTTCTGGGGTATAGCACCTGCCTCCATCTCCTCCTATCCCAGCAGCATCCTCTGTCACACCAACCCTCTGCATGTCCTCTTTCACTACATCCACAAATCTTCTCTGAGGTCTTTCTCTCTTCCTCCTGCCTGGCAGCTCCATCTTCATCATCCTTTGTCCAACATATCCACTGTCCCTCCTCTGCACGTGCCCTGACCATCTGTACTCATTTCTTATCCAACAGAAGGTCTTAGCATCTTCATCTTTGCCTCCTCGCCTGCATCACTGCCGATCTCGCTGCCTTCTCTTTCACTCTCGCTGCCACCAATCCACTTCTATCACTCACAGTTTTCTGGGGTATAAAAATCTGTTTGGGTTCCAGATGCAAACATGTGGTCAGTGTGCTGCATTAGGATGCAGTGCAGCAGTGCATGTGCACAATTTCAAAGGCACAAATGGTGCATATGCACTTAGTTTAGTGATATTCACCCATTTTTTACGTGCAGGGGGATCGGATTTGAGTGGCAAAGCTGTAAAACTTTGAACATTAATGTGCAAAAATCTGAAGACAGCTGAATCTTTTCAGATCTTAATCACAATAATATAGAAATGAATCAGGATAAGGCATTGTTTTAGCATTTTAAAGGCCTTTTGACAGAAGTCTGCCTGTGTACCTGGCCACAAAACCTCAAAGATGGGCTAAATTTAAAGGCACAGCTGTATTCATATGTGCAGGAAACAAAACTCTAATTTCAAATGAAACTGCATCAGTTTCTCAGAGGAGATGTTTGCTTTCCAAGTGCCTCTTTAGGTCTAGGGGCCAAGAAAGTTAAACCTATTTACTTCCAGAGTAATTTCTCGTGATATTTTTCTTTTTCTTAAAAAGGTCATTTCCCGTTTTTCCACAGCGTTCATTACTTTCTGTCTAGATATAGTAATGTTTGGGCACACCAATTCCATTAAATGAACCGGCAGTTCCTACAGCAACCAGTAGGGGGTGCTGCTGTTAAACAGTGGCCATACTTTATAATTCGAGTTCAGAAAAATGAAATGAGTGGTTAAATCCTTAAGCGCTGCAGCTTTCCAAAAGCATGCAAGCTGTTGCGAGTTACACGTTTACACATATTTGATTTTACGTGTACCAGCTCAGCAGCCCCTTTCTCTTCTCTCATAAATAAATGAAGTAGAAACTGAAATAAAGTAAATATAAATTGCAAAGAAAATGACCGCTTAATGACTTTTTT